AATATATCAAATTCAGATATATGAGCCCATACCAATAGCATGCAAACCATACAAGTATTTAATAAATTTGATAGATGCATCTATAAGATGGTTACATGTATTATTATTAATTTGCAACCTGAAGTTTGCAAAATTATTTGAGTAATCATCACGTTGAGTGCACAAGTTCCAGACTATGAGATCCAGAAAATTTCTATTGAAAAAGATTGTGAATTTATATCCCAGAATTTCAGTGATTAACATGCATTTGTTAGAAAAATAATTGAAAAGTCTACTTAACAGAATGATCTGCCAGAATTATTAGCCTCCATGAATAGCTAGATCAATACTTTTGAGAACAAGATCTTCATCCCAGGGTTGGCTTGTTTAGTTTGATATGTTGCAACATTTATGCAAATCAAGTCAAGAAACAAAAGGGATGTTTCTAAAAGAAGCAAATGAATTGAGGAGACTCATACTGCATGATTAATTGATTGTCATTCGACAAAATTTTCCCAACATGAGGGGGAGAAATTGAGTAGCTGGAAAAGATAACATATAGAATGCATTATTATTATCATGTATAGATTCTCAGATATATGATAGTATGAACCAAAAGTTCATCAAAGAATGCATCTATGAGATATTACAAAATATGTGCTAAATGCTATTATTGACCTAAATGAGTATTACTAAATCTCATATTCCAACTGAAAATGCTCCAATTAGTATAAATAAAAGTGAGACATGCTTGAAGCATGAGAGATTAATCGGTTCCAATATAATTATATTGAACAAAAAGGAGCATGAAATTTTAAAAGTTATATTAAGGAGGCATGTGCTCTAGAAGAGTACTGAGACATAACTAGTTGAAAAAAAAAGAGCCCCAAAAGAGGTTCAGATACCTGAAAAGTAATAAAGAGATCTCAATAAGTTATGTCACAAGAGGAAAAATGGAACCAAAAAGATAAAGTTGTCGATAACGTTTTTGATAATAATATCACGTGATTTTAAAGAGGATCTTATATGAAAGTAGAAATTTGGCCAAAAGCAAAAAGGAAAGGAGAAAAGATGCAATGGAAATATAACTATTATTTTAATATGTGAAAATTATGGACCTGCAGTCCAAACACATCAAATAGAAAGTTATTACGTGACGTATGAATATTTTTGTGAAAATAAAGAATTTCACAAAGGTCCAGTGATTATGATTAGGCATAATATTTTGTGATGGATGCAATAATTTTTGCATATATTACTAGTTTGGCAGTATATGAAAAATGAAATATGCGTCTGTTAGATATCGTTATTTCCTATACATGTGGCTCACTAAATAATGAAGTTTACATGAGAATTCTTGAGGGATTTAAAATGCCAGAAGCATTTATATAGAAGAAAATCATCCAATGCTTAAAATATTATATTAAATAAGATAATCTGAGTATACATATCTGGCTTAGAAAAATATATTAGAAAATAAATAATTTCGTATCTTACTTGACCTGAAGATCAAGTTATTGAATGCATCAATGATTGCAAAATGATTGATTTTGTTATGATAATTTTGTTTGCAAAATATATTCAACTAAATAGATTAGAAGTCCCATATATTTATTCTATAATAATATTTACATATATTGTCAATATTATGGTAAAGATAAGTTTCTGCAGGTATGCATATGAATAACGAAACTGAGATTGGATATGTAGTTCTATGAAACTATTATATGATATCATTTTATTCAAATTAAATTAATTATGTCGATACAAGATATATTATAGTATTTTTCAGAATAAACTTTCTTTGCAGTTTTTCAGTGCAAGTAAAAATATATTGATAATTCCACATATCTAGAAGATATGTTAGAGGAATACATTTCAATATAATTTGATAACAACGTACTATGCATAGTTCAGCTAAAAAGAAGATATGCTTGAAAACGCATTGGACAACTTGAGAAATTAGTATACTCTATTATGATAAAATGATAGAGAGTGATGCTGTTGACAGGGGGAGTAAAAGTGGTGTTGTCATTAGAGGGAGTAAAAATCATGTTGTACTCTTTTCCTTAGCCAAGATTTTGTCCCACGAGGTTCTTCTGTTAAGGTTTTTTTAATGAAACAGCTTCAATGTATATTGTGTACTCTTTTTCTTTCACTAGGATTTTGTCCCACTAGGTTTTTCCTAGTAAGGTTTTAATGAGGCACAATATTTATTTATGAACATCCAAGGGGGAGTGTTGTAAATATTATGTTGTGTGGATGTTCATAACTCCTTAGCCCCTTGGGATTCCTTCTCATGGTTAATGGCATTATACCTTATAACTCCCAAATTGAAGGGTTTCAAGTATTGATTTCCTATAACCTCCAATTGTACAATTATGTTGCTTAATTCCTTTCTTTATGTACTTGTAACTCTTTAGGTTAGTCTTCAATATTGGGGTCCTATAAATAGGAGATGATGTACACACATTTGAGACAATGAAGTAAATGAGAACTCCCCCTTAATTTCTCCTCCAATTTCCTCTTATTTTCTCCATCTCCCTCATCTCAATCTTTGTACTTTTCTCATTCTTCATAACACTTACAAATATTAACGAGATAAGTTAGTTGGTTATTCGTTTGCAAACTATCCCATTTAATTATTTACATCAAAACTATCCACATTCATGGAATGCAGTCATCGATATAATTTCGGGGTAAAATCATAAATTTTGGTCTGAAATGAATTAGAATTGTACATTTAACAGTAAAGCAAACCTCATTTATCTTTTATATTTAGGATTGAAGGGATGAGGAGTACAATATATAGTTTGAGAATAACAACACTAAACACGGTAAGATATATGGATGTGCAATTTTAACTAGTGTTCTTGTAGTTGCTTGAAGCTTTTGTGTCATAAAGATGAAAAAGAGAAAGAGAATTGTCTAAAACTTTTTTGGAAAATCTTTCCCTAAATATATGGCACACAAAATTTTGGGGTTTTGATGCCCAGTGATTTTGAAAAATAAAAGACAGAAAAATAACGCTTAAATATTGAAATCCCCATTTGGTCACTTAAATAATAAAAATTCCTCTTTGAGCACCCATGACCAAATTGGGATTTTAAAGTTTGTTGAAAAAACTAAATTGCCCTTTAAAACAAAAAATTATCAAGTACCCTCATTGATTGACCGGTCACCGGAGCTTTGATGGTGGTGGTAGCCACTGGAGCTCAAACAGCTGGTTGATGATCAGTCATCAGAACTCCGACGAGCGGCAACTATTTTTTATAGGTTTCTTTTAGTCTATAATATGATTAACAAGTTTTTTAAAGCTATCAACAAGTTTAGTATTGCAGTTAACAACAAATTTTCTAAGATATTCAAAAAGTGACTTTTTTATAATTTCTGTAATGTGGTTAACAAATCATGTAACTATATTAACAGCTCTCATAATGCCATTAACCATATAATTTGAAAGATTAGTCATGGTATTATAAATAGAAAATTTTTCAAGTTTTGTAACCCAGTTAAAAAGTTCTTTAACACTATTAACAAGTTCAGTATAACAATTAATAATAAATTTTTAGAAAATTCAAAAAGTAGCATTTTTACAATTTCGGTAACACGATTATCAAGTTATGTAATGATATTAACAACTCTCATAACGCCATTAACAAAATTTTCCTCTAAAGGTTGATATTTTTAATACTAGCTCCCCATGAAGATTGTACAACAAAATTTTTCCATTTATTACACAATCACCATGATTATGAAAGTTGTTAATATTATTACATAACTTGTTATGAGAGTTGTTAATATAAGTATATGACTTGTTAACCGTATTATTGAAGTTGTAAAAACGCTACTTTTTGAATTTTTTGAAACTTATTGTTAACTGTTATACCAAATTTGTTAATAGCTTTAAAGAATTTGTTAATTGGGTTACTAGACTTAAAAAAGTCACTAAACAAATAATTGCCAACCGTTGAAGCTCTGACAACCCACATGAACTCTAGCAGCCTTCACCGGCACCGGAGCTTTAGTGATTGGCCAGTCAATGAGGGTTCTTGATGGCTTTTAAAAACTAAAATTAAAGAGTAATTTGATCTTTTTAACAAACTTCAAATCCGAATTTGGTCATATGTGCTCAAAGAAAAATTTTCATTGTTTAAGTGATCAAATAGGAATTTCAATATTCAAATGTCATTTTTCTGCTTTTTTCCTAATAATTTTCGTGTTGTTACCAAGAGCTAGGTGGCCTCTCTTGTACTTCAATGGAATCTAAGGAATGAGTTGCCCTCGTCGAGAATAGTTTGCAAACAAAGTAGTTTGTTATATATTCAATATTTGATATGAATACGAAAAATATTGGTATTGATTATTAATTTTTATGTTGAGAATATCGAAGCAACGTTTATATTTTCGTTTATTTCAGGAATCAAATATTAATGTATATCCAATTCGCTCCATTGGAGATTGAAAGCACCAACCTTTGAGGAGAAAGGTTTGTGGTGTATATATAATCTGCAATGGCAACAAAGGTGAAAGGCATCTTTAAAGGACTCAAAAATAACATAACCAACATATTTGGTGAGAGTAATCTTCTCTTCCCAAATCGAATTAAATTCATTTATCTATATATTTAGTTTTTGTTTTAATTTAAATAATAAGTTGTAATGTTCGTTGGTTCTATTTAACCATTAAAATTAGGAAGTCTTGTGCTTATTGTTAGAATAGAGCAATTAATTTTTTCCCTTAGCAATCAACTAGTACAATAAATATATACAACTCTGGTCCTAAATATAAGACCTATCTTGTTGTATAATTTACACTATAAAATAGGTCTTATATTTAGGACCAGAGGAGTATTTTTTATCGTGCTTGAAACCTTTTTAAATTTTTTGGACTGCATAGTAGTGCTTGTCATTAACAACAAAGAGTTATTATAATTTACTTTTTATTTTGTTTTATTAGACTGTGTATCTATGGAGTTATATGTAATGTTTTAACTGAAAATATTTGCCATAAATTTACAGAAGAGAAAGACGAAAATGATGAAATGCAGATTGGATTCCCAACAGATGTAAAGCATGTTGCGCATATTGGATTAGACGGTCCATCTGCAAATACGCCAAGCTGGGTGGGCTCTCCTATTTGGATGTTATTTTCTTCAATAATTTGCGCCTAATTTCTCTTTAGATTCTTGTCATAATTCGTGCCAAGATTTTTATATAAAGCTTCTGATCGATAAAATAAGTTTCTAATACAGTAGCCAGAAGAAATAAATTAATTAGAATTAAAATAAGTTTCTCGACTAATTCATATATTTAAGATAAAAAAGAATATCATTTTTTCCCTTCTCCATTTCTAAAGCATGACATGAAATTTGGAATTTGAAAATTTTGCAGATGACAACATTAAACAGTGCATCAGAAGCTCCAGAACTCTTGGCAGCTGCGGCGCCGGCAGAAAACTCCACCAAGGCACAACAAGGTCTTTATATGCTGATAAACCTTCCTTTCTATTAAACCAAAAAATTAAATATAACGCATTTTAGAATACTAGCTCTGATTCTTAATATAAAAGCTAGTTGACTCATTTAAGTAGATTAAGAAAACTAGTTAAATTAGTTATTTGTACTAAACAAATATCGTCTTTCCTAAACTATTCTTACTAATTAAATCTTTTGGCTAGAATTATCATTATTATAAAAACTTATCTTGAAAAAAAAAGATAATTATGAGAGAGTAAGTAAATTGGGGTTTTATATTTAGGACCAAAATAAAAATGAAATGAGCTCTTATATTAAGAACTGGAAGTAGTACAATGATTAAAATATGTCTGCAATTGATTTCTTTATTTTTATGCAAATAGCCACAGCAAAAGAGAAAAAAGAAAAAAAATTCAGAATCGATTTCAATTTTATTTCTTTGAAGGAAAAATATTTTTGTACACTTTTTACAAGTTTATTATTATTAACTTACATTTTTTAATCTTCAAATTCAACACATACACACACATGTTTGTGTGTGTGTATATATCAATCTCATTGATCACCTTAGATATGTTTGCCTTTGTATTTAATGAGATATTTAACATAAATTATATTCATTTAAGGTATGCTTCCTTCGGTTATTAATATAAAAGCCAATTTGACTTTCAATTTAGTCCTCAGTATATGAACCTAATTCACTTTGTCTCTTATATTTATTCATTTTTTTTCTGAAATAGTCCTTGTAGTAGTTGCACATATGAAATGTTTCATCAAATAGTAGTTCTAGCTAATACATATGATTAACAAAGGTATTTTATGGAAGATAACACTTATTTATTACAAATAACTAACTAGATTAATTTTCTTAATCTATTGTATCACACCTTACTTTTATGTCACATATTATCTCAATTGGAACCATTTTGGATCATTTATTATGGCCTTAAAGTTAGAAAAAGTTAAACTTTAAAATTTCTTAAATTCGATTACGATTCATTATAACCCTTGCCAAGGCCAAATTTTGAAAATTCATAACTAATTCTAGAAAAATTGAAACGAAATGGTTCCAAGTTCTATGGAAAGCTCTTAACATGCTCTTTAAACAAAAAAAATACTCCTCGGTGTCCAGAACTCATGTGTCAATCCTAGATTTCATTCGAAGTGGTACTGTTTATTTGGTCATTTTTTGATTTTTCAGGATTTATGCCCAACTTTAGAAAGGCATCATTTTTTGTATAAAACTCCAAATGTGATGAAATATCGCTTGTTTTAAAGCTAAAATATGTTCTATAAACCTGCCAAATTTCAACTCAAGATTTATCCAATTACATGAAATTTCGTTCGTCAAACTTGACCTTAAAAAGTCAACTTTTATCCCTTTTTTCCCCCTTCAATTCTTGCCTTTTCCTTTTACATAGCCTTTCCAAACACATAGTACATACTTAAACATAATTCATTATTCAATTGTTCACATTTAAAGCATTCTCAATCATTAATACAACATTCCAATAGAATTGCAATAATACATAATGATTCATGATATTACAAAACTTATGCATAAAATTCAGCATAATTCCATCTAACTTTCACACTATTCTTCCTTGAGATGGTATCCCCTCCTTACCTCTATCTACGCCAGTCGTTTGCCTTATCGGTGTTGTTTAAATATAGAGGGGAATGAGATTTCATAGAAATCTCAGTAGCAATGAACCATAATTATCATATTAATCATGCTTCACAAAATGTGACATGTCACAATGCATAATAATCATTTCCAATTCCATGAATAGCACATTACTTCATTGAAGAAATTAGTACATATTCACATTTCATATCAATATATTTCACCAAAGCATGTCAAACATCAAAGAACATTCCATACCATAGTGTAAACCAATCATTTCATAGTATTACAGGCAAGCAACACATACACATTAAGTAAGTAAGAAAAACAATCAAATTAGATTCAATACTACCTCTTACACTTGAACCAACTTGATTTCTTGAGGTTTTAATACTCTCTTTGGCTCTTCTCTATAAGACCTATCAATTCAAGCATAATCACAAGCCACATTAACAATCATTGAAGCTTGAATACAAACATTTAACCTTAAACCTTCTCAAATCTCCCTTTTCTTTGATTTTTGACATAATTATTCCTCCTTTGATTCCATCAATCTCTTAGCTCATTCCAAAATAATTTTTCATGTAAAATCCAAATACCAAATCAGATTTTTTAAAATCACACTCCTTCCTTTCCAATTTGACTTGGCCAAATAGGGGGTATTACATTTCAAAATTTTTACTTTTGATTCCAATGATTTCAAAGATTCCAAATACTTTTTTTTGGTGTTTCCCTACACAAAAGTATCTTTTGAACTCATTGGAATTATCAAAACACATCAAAACAAACCCCCTACCTCATGAATTCATATTAGCGAAAATATATGTCTTAGGAACCTAACTTGATTTTTTTCCAAAAATCAATCCAAACATCACTTAAACATGACAATTCCAACTCATTTTCAAGGCTTCTATCCTTCCCTAACATATATTCATTTGAATTGAAAATGGGCAGCAATTTAACCTTAGTTTACAACTTAATTTTTCAACCAAAACAAGCTTGAATCTTAACCAAAATAAAGCTCAAACATACCTTGATGAATCCTTGACTAAAGCTTGGTAATTCTTCCTTCAAAAGCACTTACTAAGATCCTTTTTCAAGTCCATGAAGCTAATTTGGCAGCACCTCCCCACTTTTATCAATTTTTTTTTTTACTATTTTTGTGTATTTGGGGGAGGTATATATAGAGCAAGCAATCTGCCCTCTCCCTCTCATTTTAGGCATGATTTTTTGCAAATTAGGAGGCCACCTGGCCCCATTAAATGCTCCAAACTTTCAGATCATGCCATGTGTAAAATTCTAAGAATATTCCATTGATTTTTATCAGTAAGACTTTTGGAAATAAATTCCCTAAAATAATTTCTTGTACTTCCAAGGCTTGAAACCAATTTTATAAATTCTAATAAATATTTATATAATTATTTCATTTTTTTAGGAATTATTGAGGCTTCTAAATAATTATAATAATTATCTTCACCGAATTTCTGCTATTTTTCCCAAAAAACCTCCGTTTTCAGCAAATTTCATAATAACTTATTTTCACACCAATTTCACCTTTAAGGCCTCTATTGAGATTCCAAAACCTCTAATTCACCAATTTTTCATTTTTAGAGAATTTTCTAGAATTTTTCTCAAATTTTTCCATTTGGCCCTTTCTAGACCGATAATTCTAAAAATATCAGTTCCGGCCCCATCTGGATTTTATGTCATGTTTGGCTTTGTCAGCCAGTCTACCTTCCATATTGGCCCTTTACTTGATTTTTTATATCCATTACCAGGGTCAATTTTTGCGGGATGTGACATACTCAAATTTGACAACTAGCTCTTATATTAATAATTGGAGGTGGTATTTATTATAAGCACATGTATACATTTATTAGAGACAATCTTATTCAAAATGATCCTAATTGCCTCTAAATCCCTCTCTGTCCCCACCATTAGATTTAAAAGTAAATTATTTAAATTTAATATCTTTAAAAAATTATTAAAATATTTTATGGATTAAAATTTTATATTATATTTTATATTACAGTTGCCAACTATTTTCAAGTCAATTTTTTGCTAGTTAAAATTATTTACATATTTTTATAAGATATTTTAATAATAATTTATTAAAATATTAAATTTGAACTGTTCATGTTTTGATCTGGTGAAAGGAGAGAGTGAGATATTGGGAAGATTCAAATTCATTCAAGACACTATTAGGCATTAAATGTTGTGCATCGTACTACTGATTGTAAAGGAGTAAATAATAAAAATTAGTAATGCAATTTTTTGTTTAAGAAATTACCAACACATTTCTATACAGGTAATAACAATACAAAGGGTGAAACAATTATGAGCACTAAAGAGATTCCAAGGTCTAAACCAACTAAAGACTCTAGCTTGGATTCCCCAACCCGACGGGGCTCTGATGAGCAAAAGCATGTTCGACGCCACCGACACACCAATACAGATCCCTCATCGGATTCTTTAACTCGAGGCTCAGCACAACATGCTAGACAACATCAAAGCACAATTCAAGCTGGTGAGTCATCATCAGAAGATACTGCAGAAGTAGCAGCGGTGGTAGGGGAAGCAGCTAAACAGCATTATCGGAGGAAGTCAAAGACATCCAATGGAGATGCACCAGTCAAGTCATCAAAGAGATCATCAAAAGGGAATTCGTTGACCAAAATCTCTCTTATAGATATAGAAGCTAGGGATGTAATGAAGCATTGTGAAAGTCTAGTTTGAGCAGACAAGTAAGAGGGAGGAAGGTAATGAGAATGTAGCAACAAAAAGAAGAAATTTAGGTTGATGCAATCCTCTCAAGTTAGAGGCTTGTTTTTAATTCAAGCCATTTCATTCTTATTTTTTAGTACTTTTCTTCCATTAAAAAAAGATGTTTTTGCTATTTGTTTTCTTGCCTTGCATTTCTCGGATGTGTAATTGGAAGGAAGGATTATACTTAATTTGACTTAGATATCTGCCATAATTTGATGTACAATTTCTTTTTTCCTTGTGTCACACATCTAAGAGATCACTCAATTATAATCAAAGTGAATTTCACCACTTTAGATTTTAAATTTACCCATGAGATGAAAGGCAAAACATACCCAATGCCACTCTTTCTACAGCCTTAACAAATGAACCATCAACATTAGTTTAAGATTATCATAATTACAGGAAGAACTCCTTCCTTTACTCTTTATTAGAAACCTTAGAATTCAAGGGTTGCTCATCCCAATGCCTAGCTTGCCAAAAGTCATTAACACTAGTGGTTGAAGAATATTTCAAGACCCACCACTACTACAAAAATGATGATAGATGTCAGTTAAATTTGGCAATGGATGATAGTTCATAACTATCACCAAAAGGTGTGTCATATATTCTCTTGGCTAAATAAGTGGTAATTAACAGCCATCACATATTTTCTTGAATACTTGTTGGTTGAGTCCTAAAGGGTCATATAATTAAGTCCTCTAGCAAGTCTATGTGACTAACATGTGTATGTGTGCTCCAAGTAACCATCACGTATTGACAAATAACCATCATGTTTTGTAGCTATTTTTTTAAATATGGTGCTACTTTCATCTTTAGTAGCCCCCCGCATTGTAATATTCACAAAACCAACATATATACAGTAGAGCAAAACCAATATTCACAAAACTAGCATATATACAACAAAATAGAATAATAAACTAAAATGATATAACAAACCAAATTAAATTACATACAGAAAAGATTAAACTATACATATACATAATAATAATGTTATATTCCCAATAATCAAGTAGTAGTGCCTCTTTTTCCTTTTGTACTTGTCTTGGCTTTTTATATGCCTTCTGAGAATACATTTTGTCTTCTTATCGTGAAATTTTTCCTTCTCTGAAATCCATATTCTTTCATTGTGATCATGCTTGACATACAAAGTATTATCTTCATTAAAATATATTTCAATGGATGTCCCATGAAATGGATCATCCTCAAGTCCATTCTCTTCATATCCCACAATGTCATCATTTATTTTATTTCTCAACACAATAATAGACCATCCATTATTAGCAAGATATAGGACATGAAAAACTTGTCTATCTTGAGAAGCCAAAATAAAAGGCTCTTCTTTATACCCTTTCTTATTCAAATTCAATTTTATCAACCCTAGGTCATCAACTCTCAAGGCATTGTTATTGTCAACCCACTTGTACCCGAATACAGGAAAATGAAATATGATATAATCCAACTTTAAGATGTGCTCAATCTCCCTAAAATATGACATATCCATATAGATAGGAATTTTATCTTTGGCACTCAATACATGCGTGGTGTTATTGACAAGAGTTACATAACTATTTTGCATTTTGCCTTGATAATCTAGGCATTTGGTATAGAAGGTGAACCCATTGATAATGTAGCTTGCATAAGAAAGTACTTGTTTGCATGAACTGTTTTCTAAGAAATTTAATTTCTCAGAAATTAAATTAGGATCAATATTATACTTATCATGCATATGCTTTTTCAACCACATTGTAAAATGTTTATTGTATGTTTTGGCATACCAACGTTCTAGTTTGTTAGGGTTATCCCTCCTAAGCTCCTCCAGATGCTTATGTATATAGATATATCAACTGCTTCAGAGTTTTATAGTACATATAGGTATGCTTACTTCTATTATTGGTTTGAGATAGTAACAACTTTATTTCCCATCATCTGTTGCAAACCTACTAGACAATTTGGGTCATGGTCTTGCATATTTATGCCTAAGAAGCATTAATTAAAGACTAGCCCAGTTAGAGTCTGTTTATTTTGTATAAGTTGTTAATTTTTTCTAGTTATTTTGTAATTTTTTGTTTTTTAAATAAGGCCATGAGCCAAGAGTCATTAATTAGTGTTTAGGTGCCATTTAATCATTAATGACATATTAAGATTTATTTGTTATTATTAGGATTTATTTATTATTATGTGATTAATCTTTTAGTTTAAAAAGCCCATAAAAATTTCCCCCATACAATAATCTTTCATGATCTGATCTCCCTCTAATCATATTGTCTTCCATGATATAATTTATCCAATTTTAAAACATCTTTGTTGACCATTAAACCTTATCTATTCATAAATTAGATTATTTTAAATAATCTAATATCATTCCATACCCTTAATACCCTTTATTAATTAATCCGTTATCTATTAAATCCATTGTCACAAATTAGATTATGTAAATAATATAATTAAAATATTCCCAATATTTTCATTTATGCTTTAACAATATCTACTATTGTCTATGTCACACCTTACTTCTATTATACCTTAGAGTCCACTTAGAACCAATTTTAACCACTTTGGATGGCCTGAAACTCAAAATTTCATAACTTGGACGCTTATTTTGTAAAATTACTGTTCACTTAGTAAATCCATATTTTTTGTCCAACTTTGAAAATTCGTAACTAAATCTAAAAAAAGTGAAACAGAGTGCTTCCAAATTCTGTGGAAAGCTCTTTGAAGTCTTTTTCAAGGAAAAATAATCTCATGACCTAATTCCTTAAGGATTAGTGCCAGAGTTTTTGTGGAATTTACCACTATTCCAATTGGTAAAAATTGTTTTCCAGAATTTTAACCCTAATTTTGTAAAATCACCAAAAATCATACACACATCCATATAAAACATGCTATCTATCAATCTGAAGCTTATGGAGTGTACTTTAATCATAAAATATCATGATCATCCAAGGTAGATAACATATTTAAAACTGAGTCACAATCTCGCTGCCTTAACAGAGTTACAGCATCATAAACTTCAATGCAATCTCCAAAATGAAACCACAATTCAACATGCATATAACATAAGTTTCTCCAATTACTCCCTTCTTCTTGATGGTTCTTCCCCTATGGGAAAGAGTTACATTTGGAAGGAATGAGATTTCAAAGAAATCCCAATAGCAAGAGCAAATCAACTATAATATCAAGCATGCATCAATTACCAGCATTCCAACCTTTTGCCATTAATAGGGAACTACTTAACCTCATATATGTAGCACTCTAACATGCAATAGCCAAGGCACTTAAAGCAAGGAGTATAGCTATGCAATCATCATCATCATCATCATTATTTAGCTCAACCACATAATAGCACAATGATCTAAGCTTTTTCATGCAACAATTAACATTAAAGTTAGTTAAATTTTGCTATCTTTCCTCCAATGCTTGCCTTGCCTCTTGATATTGGTCCTCTCTTCCATAAAAGTGAAAGACTAAGATCACATTTAAAAAGGGGCAACCACACATCACAACTATGCTCCACAAACATAACTTGAAATTCAAGAAACCCTTAACCCTTTTTGTTCTTGAATTTTTGGAATTGATTTCCATTAACCTAAAATTTATCCTAATAGGTCAATCCTACATAATTTTTCATGTAAAATCCAAAAGTGAGCTTTGAATTTTAAAAACATCTCGTCCCTATTGATCTTGCTTTGGCCGAGAGGTAGTGAATATAGCCCTTCAATATCTAATTTCATTTTAATGCATTCCAATGCTTATGGCTTAGGTTTACCCTACACAAAACTTCATTTTAAAGCCTATGGAAGCATCCAAACATGCAAAATCTTAGCCTAGGGCATAATCATTGTTTGGCCGAAACATTCATATAGGTTCCTTAACATGAATTTCATTCCATAATCATGTAATACCCTTGAAACAACTTGTAATCCATGCATTTAACCTAGGTTTAACATCATATTCTTTCTTCCCAACCTTTACATAATTAGGCTAGCACCCAAGCCAAGGAGAAACCACCAATTTCAACCATAAAACTCTAGGAAACTAAACAACACACAAGATAGAACATCAAACTAACCTTGGATGCAACCATGTATGATCAAATCTTCAAGCTTCTCCTTGATTCCACTTCAAGAAAAATTTTACAAGCTCACTAGGAAGCAAGGCTTTGAGCTCATGAAAAAGAAGAATAAAGCCAATTTGACATTGGTGAGGAAATTCTACACTTGCTTTACCATGGATGGGCGCATGGGGATCAATTTCAGAGGACAGGAGTGTTATTTTAGTCAGGCTGCTATTGAGTTTTCTACAAGCTACCTGATGTTCCTCACTGTGAGTTCCAGCATTTGAAGACCAGACTTGATCAAGTCCCCTAGAATGAGGTCTTTTAAACTATCAGAGTTGAGGGCGCTAGGTGGACTGTTAAGGAAAGTGGGCAGAACTACTTTAAGTAAGAACATGAACGATGAAGCCAGGATTTGGCTGAATTTCATGTCTTACAACGTGATACCGGCAGCTCATATCTCTGACGTCTCTGAAAATGGTGCACTTCTACTGTACCTCCTGATGACAAAGCAGTAAGTTGATATCCCAATCATAGCCCTGCACCAGATTTCACATTATGTTAACAATGTCTAGACCCTTTTAGTATTCCCATACTTAATCACTGATATATGTGCAGTGAAGGGGATACTAATACGCAAGACTGATCTCACCTTGAAACTCACTACTACTAGATGTTACATCATCTCAAAGACCAACAAAAGTAGAAAGAGAGGAAAGAGGGTGATGGAGGAGGATCCTGAAGAGGAGGCAGCTGAGGGTGGCTCTAGTTTTACCCTTACCTCTTTGAGTGAGTAGATTGCCGCCCTTAGTCAGTTGGTGACTAATTTGAGCAGGGAACTCCAAGAGCAAAGAGCCATTAATATGGCCAATGGTGCAGAAGGCAAAGATTCTTGGATCCTTTGATGCTGCAATTT